GCTAAAAAGCTTCTGCACAGCAAAAGAAACCATCAACAAAATGAAAAGAGAACCCACTGTATGGAGAACGTATTTGCTATGATATATCTGATAAGGGGTTAATTTCCAAAATATATTTTAAAAATAACTTATACAATTCAACATCAGGAAGACCAACAATACAATTAAAAAATGGGCTAATGAGTCATACAGATGGCCAATAGACATATGAAAAAATGCTTAAGGTCACTAATCATCAGAGACATGCAAATAAAAACTACAATGAGGTATCACCTCACACCTATCAGAACGGCTACTATCAATCAATCTACAAACAACAGTATGGAGTTTCCTCAAAAAATTGAAAATAGAACTGCCTTTTGACCCAGCCATCCCACTTCTGGGAATATTTCCTAAGAATCCCAAAACACCAATCAAAAAGAATATGCATCCCTATGTTTATAGTTGCATTACTTACAATAGCCAAGACCTGGAAACAGCCCAATGCCCACCAGCAGTGGTACATTTTAAAAAGCTACGGTACATTTACACAATGGAATACTATGTAGCTATAAAAAAGGTGCTTTTACCCTTTGCCACAGCATGGATGGAGAGTACTATGCTCAGTAAAATAAGCCAGTCAGAGAAAGACAAATACTATGATCTCACAAATATGTGGAATCTAATGAACAAAATAAACTGATAAAAAATGGAACTAGAAGCATGGATACATGGGACAGACTGGTTGGAACCAGGGGAAAGAAGCGGTGAATGGTTAAAGAAGGTGAAGGGATTAGGTAAAGAACATATATATAGGCATACACCATGGACATGGACAATAATTTTGTGAAGGCCAAGGGAGGGGGAGGCAAGGGTGTATGGGGGTAGGCAAAGGGCAGGAAAAAGAGCAATATCTGCAATTATGTCAACATTAAAATTAAAAAATAAATAATAAAATTTAACAAAAGAAAATCTATCATTAAAAAGAGAAATAAAAATACCTCAACTAAAATTAAAAACTCACTGTCAGGATTTACAGAAGATTAGAAAAACTTGAAGGCAAAAAATGTGAAATGGATAACATAGATCAGAAGAAAAATATCCAAAATAAACCATAAGATAAATGGATGGAAAACACAGAAAATAATAAACATGGAGGAAACAGTCACAAATCCTTACATAATGACTTTCCAAGACTAATAAAAAGCATCAATTTACAGATTCAAGAATTCCAAAGAAAACCCAAGCCAGAAAAATAAAAATAAACGTACACCTAAAAATATCAGAGTACAGCTGTGGGCAGGATTGGGGTAGGATAGAAGAAGGGAAAATAAAGGCAAAAGGAAAATCATAAAAGCAGTAAGAAAGATTACTTTAATAACAAAGTTAAATGTTAACGGAATAATACCTTTGTTGTTCTGATTCCTAATTTACAGCAAAAATGTCCTTCAGCCCTACTAGTGTGGCTCAGTGTTTGAGCATTGACCTATGAATCAGGAGGTTCTTTGTCAGGGCATACATATGCCCAGGTTAGGGCTTGATTCCCACTAAGGGGGGTGCTGAAGGCAGCGATCAATGATTCTCTCTCATCACTGATGTTTCTCTCTCTCCCTCTCCCTCTCCTTTCCTCTCTGAAATCAATAAAAAAATATTTTTAAAAATAGCCTTAAAAAATGAAGATGAATTAAATATATTTTAGAAAAACAAAAGCTGAAATAATTTTATCATTAGCAGACCTGACCTATGGCACAAGAAAACTTATCTCAAATAGCAAATTTGAGATCCAAAAGGAATGAAATTGATAAATATATAATCAAAACAAATATTGTTTATTATTTTAAGATTTATATTTTAGGCAGAATCAAAATTGCATCTTCAAGAGGAGATAAAACTGAACGAAAGTGTTCTAATGTCCTGCGTTACTCAGGAAGAAGGTAAAATTGCAAAGTAATATTTAAGTCTGATGAGTCAGGATACAGGCTATGATCTCAGAAACAACTGCTAAAAGAGTGCATATCTTCCAAACTGCCAAAAAATGCAATAGTTTATTAATCTAAAATATAGTTTTAAAAAAAGATAGACAAGAATGAGAAAAGTAGAAATGATATAGGTTATGGAGTTATACTGAAATGTAAAAATATTATATTCAATATAAGAGTACAAAATGTGTAAACACAAACCAAAATACAATTGAAATAGTAATATTAATATCAAAGTAGACTTTAAGGCAAAAAATATTACTAGATAGGAGGGGAAGCACCTCAAAATGAGGAAATATTTTGTTCACTCAGAATATATAACAATTTTGAACATGTATTTATCTATAAACATAGTATATAATTTATACAAAAAAGTGGAAGAGATATAAAAATAGACAGTGGTAAATGCTAAAGCAAACTGGAAAAATATAAGTAAGGGTTTAAATCTTAAAAATATAACCAGCAAATTAAACATAAAGAATCTATTCAGAATACTGCATCCAACAACTGCAGAATAAGTATTATGCTCAAGGGCAAACGAACCACTTACAAATATTGATCATACATTGAGTTGTAATGTAGCAAGACTCTACAAATTATAAAAGATTAAAAGCATACAGTACCTTCTCTGATCACAAGACAATTAAGGTATAAATAAAATGTGAAATATAATTAATATTACGTTTTGAAATTAAGAAAATGTTTATAAATAGTATAAAAGTGAAAAATACAGTAAGAAATTAAAATTACCAGGTGTACTGGTTAATAATGCAAATTTTGTAATCAAAGAAAACACGGTAATTTCAAGAGAAACATCAAAACTGCTTTATTCAAAGTAATGTCCGTTGCTAGCTACACATTTCTCCATCTTTCAGGTAATTTGTGGACACTATCCCAATAGAACTTTTCTTGTTTTGAGGCAAACCATTCAGAGACCCAATTTTCCACTTCTTTGTATGTTTTTGAAGTTCTGCTCAGAAAGTGCATGTGCAATTGATCGGAACAAGTGGTAATCTGAAGGAGCAAGGTCTGGTGAATATGGCGGGTGGGTTAATACTTCCCAGGCAAGATCTTTTAACATGCCTAACTGGTTTTGAAGTGTGTGCTGGTGCGTCATCATGAAGCAAAATTACTTTGCTGTGTCTTCTGGAACATTCTGGTCGGTTCACGATCAAAGGGTGGTTCAATTTGATTATTTGTTGTCGGTAGCGATCGGTATTAATGGTTTCACCTGGTTTTAGAAGCTCATAATACACCACACCTTCCTGATCCCA